AAATAATTAAGTCTACAACTGGCCATTCCATCGCACATGATGTCGTAGTTCATTGGCACCAAGTCTCCCGCCCAGAAATTCACGAGGATTTATCAATCCGTCACACATTCCATCACCAACTTTTACGGTGGCAATGTCTATCGCAAATACAGTCGCCATGTACAACAGAAGTACACCCGTCACAAATATTCGTCGCAATTCTGCAATTTTCTTGTAGTGTACGGTATGTTTGTTTCAAGATTTTTGGTATGATAAGCTACCCTGTATCGTTCTCAAATAACCAACCCTCTATTAAGCTCAGTAAGACTCGACTTTATTGCAGTTTTTTTGGGTTTGGTTTTCTTAGTTTTTTCGGGAAATGTAAAAATGAATTCAATACTTCCTCACCCCTAGCTACTATTGCGAGAAATTTGAAAATTGGTTCAGTATTTCGGGAAATTTTAGTCCTCTATCTTTAAAAGTACCAATTGATATGAACAAGTCAAAGGTAGGTATGACGTACTCCGATAGTCTTCTACTCTCTACGTTCTCTATGTCAAAAGTGAATCTCACTTTCTCAATACGATGTCGATCTCAAAATCTCACCAATAATACTATATTACTCCCTGCGTCCCTTAAAGTCTTTCTCTCATTTTTTCTTGTCCCACAAACTTCTTCACTTTTCTCTAAAGAAGATACTTCTACTCCTTACCCTAAATTATGCTACTCGACTTAGACCCATAAACCCCACTACTTTACCCAGCTCCGTTTTAACTCATGTGTATTCATCAACCCATCTCTCTCTCACCCCATTTCACTTACCTGTTGCTAACACCCTTCTCTGTTCCGATTATCCTTCCCCTCTCTTCGTCAGAAATAAAAATACTAATGGTGATTCACGATCCTACGATTCCCACCTTCAAGCTACTAACGAAAACGATGAGGAAATGTCTTCTCCTTTGCCCACCCCAACTTTATAAAGCCTACAATTCCTAGATATGACTCTGCTGAGAGCAAATCTAGAACCTTTGATACAGATCCAACATGGTGGTACTAGAAAAATATCTTAGGGGAGATCATTTCCCCTCAAAGGATGAAGGATGTTGTGTTGAAGACGGGGAAGATGAAGAATCTGTTACTTTATAGCAAATCTTGGAGAGGTCTGATTTAAAAATTGTCTTCTCTGAGACGCATGGAGATGAGGCTAAGGCACTACACTTCGGGAAGAGTATCATCTCCATATTCTTTATATTACATTCCAATTACTATTTGCATGTCCGAGTAGAATTTTTTTAGGAAACTTATGATGCAAAAAACATTTTTCTTAGTCACTGAAACTCTGTGAGCTATATTTATGTCAGTAGCTATATTGTAATGTCACCACGTATTGGTTGGAGACTTACAAAACTTAATAGTTTCATACGTGTGGTCTACTCTTTCTTTGTTCTGTAAGAAAAGCTTTGTGGTGAGAGTATGGGCTATTGTTTATTCTTGTAATTTGATTGAAATATGTACTTAAATGGGTGTTCATTATAGACGAAATGTGAAAAAGAAGATGTTATAGCTACCATTTTAATCTTTAAAAAGTATTTTCTGCACTTGATTATGTGCAATTGGTAAAACAGATGCTATACTTGCCTATTTATTCTTGAAAATACATTTCCTACCTTTGATTATGTAAAAGTTAAATAAAACTGATGTTACACTAAGATACTTCATTACAAAAAAAATTGCTACACTTGCATTACAATATAATTTTAACCAACAAAAAATGCCCCAAAGCAATACCAAGTTGTTCTTTGACTGAGTTATATACCACACTTGTTACTCTATATCATCTAAAAATTGTGCAAAACAATTGTCACTTGATAGTACAAGGAGGCATTGTACTCTTCCTTGGCCTTGTTTGCACAAAAAAATGTAATCTAAGTCAGGGTACTCATATAGTCATATATGCTCCTCTAAGAACACCTGGCACTCCGATACACTTCCGTTCTAACCCTTAAGTTCTGTGGTAATATTCCTTCTCTAGCCGGTTTAGCTTTGTTAATGTGAGGGATCTGGAATTGTTCCCCTCTGTTTTTATTGAGAACCTCGCCCATCATCCCTTGAAGAATGAAATACACTTTATTCAGTTTTTTAGGTGAGAGTTCTTCATATGTTGTAATAAGAGTATTAAGGAACTTTGCTAAGGCCATAAGACCTGCTTGGTCTTGCAATGTGTCAATAGATATAAAGAATTCAAGATCATGTACGTTTAGGTCTGGGCTGTGGGGGAGGCCAGAATTTAAGTTAACTATTCCAGTCTCCTTTTTGACCTACTTGTAAATTTTCAAGGTCATTGCCATCCACATGAGGCTTTGCATTATCTTTCTAGATTATAATATGAACCTCTTATTTTGAGTTGGAAAAATTAACTTCTAATTTCTTCCAACTCTTTCGTGTTTCTTTCAACTCTCTTTTAGTTTCTTTCAACAATGATTTAAAAAGTATTTATATATGATTAATATAAAATAATACTCCCTCCGTTCGGGAATGATGTTCTCACTCTACTCTTTTTTCCGTCCGGGAATGATGTTCCCATTCTATTATTTTTTCTCCATTCTTCCAAAATTACCCATTCTTCCTTATTTTCTTTCTTTTCTTCCTTCTTTTCTTTCTTATCTTCCTTTCCTTTTTTCTTTTCTCTTTCATTCTGTTTTCTCCGCCACCCGTTCCTCATCTCTTCATTTTTTTCTTTTTCTTCTCTCCTTTTCTTCTCCATCTCTGCGAATCCTTCCTCTTCCCTCTCTTCAATCTTCTTCTTCTTCCTCTCTATATTCTTTGTTTCTCCTCCATCTTTCATCTTTAATTTATCTTCCCCTTCTTGTTTCTCCTCCATCTTTCTTCTAGATCTACGCGGGGATGGTGGCGGCCGGCGATGTCGATGGCTAGTCTGCACTGCTTCCTCTCTTTCTTCTTTTCTTTCTCCTTATTTTTTTAGATCTATACCACAATGGCGGAAAGGTGGGGCTGCGCGCGGATGGTAGGGTGCCGACGGTCGTGGAGCTGTGGCGGTGATGGTGGTTGGTTAAATCTGCAGTCGATCTGTGTACTTTTCTCCTCCTCCTCCTTGTCCTCTTTCTTCCCCTTCTTTTTCTCTTTTCTCTTTCTCCCATATATGGTCTTGGTGGAGGCTATGGGCGATGATAGGGCTGGTGGTGACGGCGGCTGAGATGATGGTCGTTTGGGCTGGTGGAATAATGACGCGGATGGCACTGGTGGGGGCTACGGTGGGGATGAGATTGGCGGCGGTGGAGATTCGGGCCGGTGGTGGGTGCTGTTTGGTGGCTGGAGATTGATGAAAATGTGCAAGGGTATTTCAGTCTATTCACTCCCTTAGTCAATGCTTCTTAAAAATGAAGAAAAGTCAAAGTGGGAACATCATTCCCGGACGGAGGGAGTATTATATATCCAAATTTATAATATACCACCTCAAACACGAACAATGATGAACTCTTTTTTATTCAAAATTAGAGTTTCCTTACATATTTATTTAGATGACAATTTAATTGAGTGATTTTTCTACATTTAAATTCTCCTAACGTTTTCAAACTCTTTCTAGTTCATTCCAACTTCTTCCAATTCCTTCCAATATCCAATTCTAAAATTCCAATACAAAAGAACATGGTCTAATTAATTTTTTTATAGATATTTCAAATTGAGTAATGCTAGGTTCACAAACAAAACACTCACAAAAAATACAAACTTACCATTTGTGTATTTAAGTTTTTATTTTTTTAATAATTTGAGACACTTATTGAAACCATTATTTTACATTTTGGGTAAGTTTGTACATTTTATTAAGAGTAATGCTAGAGTCACACACAAACAGCTCACAGAATTCACAAATTTGCTTTTTTAACATTTTCCTAGAAATTAAATACACCCAAATAATAAAAGATAATTTTATTTAAAAGTTACAAAAAGCAAATTTGTGAAGTTTGTGAACTATTTGTTTGTGACTCTAGCATTATCCTTTCAAATTTGATGTAAATGTAGCCTCTAAAGCATAAATACTACCTCCGTTTCTGACTATTTGTCAAATTTTGATTATTTCGATCAACTTTTTCAATCTTTGACCTGATTAAATAAAATTGATGGGTACATCCCTATACCCGACCCGGACAACCGAAAGGGACGGGTCAAAATATGATCGGTCACTTTTATCAATCACTAAATGAGATTAACTCTTCGATTGGGACGGGTCAACTTTTGACCGGTCACTTCCACTAAAAAAGTGACCGGTCACATTTTGGGCGTTAGCCAAAATGTCGCCTAATGTTACAAAGGACATTCTAGAAGACCAAAGAGACGGGTTGTGCTCAAGAAATGACCGGTCAACCTTTGAGAAAAAGGTGGCCGGTCATATCACTTTACTTGGCTAACATTGGTCCGGTCTCTTAGGCATGGTGAACCACGTCAGAGGTCAAGGGGACACCCCGCCGCTCATCCATCACGAGGCACACAGTGAAAGGGATGTTTGTCATTTTGCAGGGTTGATTGGATTGAGGATATCCATTCTAGTCTTTGATTGAACAGTGCTTTTTGGTTGTATTAGTAACAAGTCCATGATTGTACAATGCTTCCATTATCTACAGTGACCTTCCCACGAGCTTCCTATTTTGTCCATGGATGAACAGGGGAAGGTCACAAATCCTCCTCTATAAATATGATGATATTGGATAGAGGAGGGGATCCAATTTTTCCCTCACTAAAGTTCACTCTTGAGATAGAGTAAGAAATATAATTCGGGCTGAGGAGATTTACCCGGTCTAGGTCATACTTTGTGTTCTTGTTGTGTGTTTTATATTACGGGTCGAGTGTGTCCAGGTCAAACCCGGTTAACCCACCCCGCTATATTTACACCATCATTTTTGGCACCGACCGCGGGACATATTTTTAAAGTTTTTTGACCAGGTCAAAACTTTACCCCCACTAAATATCCACAATCATGTCTTCGAGCAACTACAACGCTGTGTCAAGCCAGGCTGCGAGTGAAAGCACTCCTGCCATCCCATTGATGATGTCGAGCATGGGGACGACCTTTGCTTCGATCACTACTGTAGGATCAATTGGCATGATCCCAATCATGTCAACCCCAACTCCTACGCCGACGACAACAATGTTCCCAGGCTCGATAACAACGCCTAGTGGAGCATTCACACCATACCCGTCAGCTTGGGCTCAGTTTGCTGCTGACCCGGCAAATGCTCAGGCTCTACAGGGCTATCAACAGGTGATGGCCATGATGCAACAGGCAGGTGGCTTCATGCCATTTGCCTATCCTGGTATGACGCCGCCAATTATGCCACCTCCAGTGTCGACCCCGTCAACATTTGTCCCTAGGATGGTCCCTATACATCCGGTGAATTTGACGGGGACTTTGAGTGAAGCAGCGCCCTCAAATGTCCATGAAATCAATGAGGCGGAGCAGGAGGCGGCCCGCAGGAGGAAGGGTAAGGCTATAGCCAATTCCAGCAAGACTCGAGATTCGGCGTTCAAACGCCTAGGGGACAAAGAGGATGGACCCCGCAAGTCTGCCAAGCTACGTCTTGGTTCTAAGATGGGCCGGACTAGCGCAATGGAAAGACTTGGCGGGAGTCGCCACGCCCAATCTCGTCGTTCTAGGGAATCTGAGACGATTCACCAAGACGAGGAGGAAGCAGAAAGCCAGCCGAGGGCGTCGCCATATACCAGGCTCTCATACGATGAGGATGACCTGGACAAGATAGGGAGCGTAGCAAGGAAATTACGTGCCCTGGAGGAAAAGGTGGAAGAGAAGGCGGGAGCGAAAAAACACACTTTGGCTAAATCTCCCTTTTCGGCCAGGGTACATGCGCAGAGGTTGAGGCGGAAGATCAAGCTGGACGTGGAGAAATTCACAGGGAAGGAGGATCCAAACGTCCACCTTGACACCTTCCACAATACAGCACAGATGGCCGGGTGCACTGATGCTGAGGAATGCCTACTCTTCTTCTCATCCTTGAGAGGGAGGCCAGTGGAATGGTTTAACGGCCTTTCCCATGGCAGGATTGGGTCCTTTGAAAAACTTGCTGAAGTTTTCCGCAAGAAGTACCACGACAATTGCATCAAGAGGAAGAAGTTCACCTACCTTAACACGGTAGGGCAGAAGGAGAAGGAGACCTTGACTCAATTCTTAACCCGCTAGAGGGATGAGGTTGACAAGGTAGAAGAGATGGATGATAAGACGGCCATGTCTTTGTTGATGAATGCCTTCCGGTCGGGTGACCTCTACACCGAATTCTGTAGGAGGCCACCCTCCTCTTATCAGGAAGCCTATAATACGGCATGGGAGTATGCCGACGCGGAGGCCTTGAATAAGAGCAAGCGGGAATTGGAGGAAGGTTATACGAAGGTGAAATCCGACAAGCCGAAGAAGGACGACCAGATGGGAGGGTCCAAGCTAAAGGCTACGTATGACGGGTCTGTCCATCAAATAAGAGATGATAAGAAAGGAGAACAACCCAAGAGGCCTTGGACGGAGAAGTGGTGTACCTACCACCAATCTGACTCCCACAATACGGTGGATTGCCGAAATGTCAAGGCTGTGCTCAAGGAGATGGCCTTGAAAGGAGAGCTTGGGGAAGGTTACACGACGGGTAATAAGAAGGACCCGAAAGTGAACACTTGGACCCGTCATCAGGGAAAAGACCAGGGAAGGAGAAAATCCGGGAAGGATAACAACAATCCGGATAAAGAATTCATAGAGATGATTGTCGGCGGCCCAGAAGGCGGGGATACTGCCTCCCAGCGGAAGAACTGGGCCAGGAGCTTACACGTAGCGGTGGTTTCCCTGGAAACACAAGGGAAGCACGCAAGGAGGGAACCTATCACTTTCACTGATAGGGATCTTCCTAGGACGGGGGGAGATCATAATGACCCTCTGGTCATTACAATGGATATCAATGGAGCTGATGTGGCCAGTGTCCTGGTTGACACAGGAAGTAGTGTCAATGTTTTATACTTAGATGCTTTCAAGAAATTGAAGCTTGACAGGTCCATGTTGAGGCCATTGCAAATCCCATTGTCAGGCTTCACTGGAGCCAGCATAGAAGCAGAAGGTCAGATCACCTTACCAGTTACTATGGGGTCAGGTAACAGGACAGTGACCAAACAAATGAGATTTGTTGTGGTCGACATCAAGTGTGTGCATAATGCCATTCTGGGTAGGCCTGGAATCAACCAGGTCAGAGCTATTATTTCCATGGCACACTTATGCATGAAGTTTTACACTCCCAATGGAATCGGGGAGGAAAGGGGTGATCAAAAGAACGCCCGGCCCTGCTACCTGGAAGCAGTCAAGAAGATGACCCGCCAGTTCGAACAAATTGAACTGGTCTCCCAGCGGGTAGACAAGGGAGAGGAGAAGGCTAGAATCGAGCCGGATGCAAACACGGAGGAAATCCAGATTGATTCCTCTAATCCTGAGAGGAAGGTCAAGATTGGAGCTGATCTTCAGGAGGAGCTAAGGACTGAGGTTGTCCAGGTGCTGACCAGGTATAAATCTTTGTTTGCCTGGAGTGTTGCTGATATGCCCGGAATTGACCGGTCAGTCATTTGCCATCGTCTCTCTGTTCTTGAGGGGTCTAGGCCTGTAAGACAGAAGAAGAGATTTTTGGCAAGTGATAGGAGAGATTTTGTAAAGAAGGAGGTTAAGGATCTACTTGAGGTAGGTCATATCAGGGAAGTAAACTACCCTGAATGGCTGGCCAATGTAGTTCTGGCTCTGAAGGGTGATACCTGGAGGATGTGCGTAGACTACACAGACCTCAACAAGGCATGCCCAATGGATTCTTATCCTCTCCCCAGCCCGGACCAAATGGTTGACGAAACCGCCGGGTGTGAGCTGCTAAGTTTCATGGATGCCTTTAAAGGGTATCATCAGATCTTCATGGCGGAAGATGACGAGGAAAAGACGGCCTTCCTCAC